ACGCCATTAATTCTCTTTCTCTTCAATTCGTGAATTTTCCTTGTTTTCCTCGAGCCGGTACACCATTCAAGAAAATTTGAACAAAGAATAGTAAATTATTATTTTTTTTCATATATTTTTGAAGTATAACGGACCATTCACCCACGCCGGGCAACGACATTTAATTTCCTTGGTGTTTCTTTTCATGTTACGCTCGGTAAGAACTGTGCAAATATTAGCAAGAAATGTCACCATCATGTTTACTTAAATATTCTGTGTATTGAGTCTCATATAATTATAAGTTGTGAATTAAAATGTTATCAGAAAGAAGTTGAGGGTTTATGCTTCATTGACACAAAAGCCGGGGTAAATTTGTTTACTGAAAGATGCTCAATTTCCCAGTTGTCCACGAATACTGCATGCTGATTTTGTTGTCGACTACAATAAGTATCTAGAGAGCACAATCGAGGCGGAGAGTTGAATATGCTTGTCATCAGGTTATCAAAAATATATATCTTTAAGATTTTTCTGCTGAAGTTCGTTTTACTAAGGCTAGGTTTATGAAATATGTTCGTTGGTGCGATTTAAAGCTTTTAAGAATTGATCCGTTTCTTACAACTAACAGATATATAATCTCCATCTCTCTCATACAAACGTTACTCAGCCTCATGACACCTTTTAATAATAGGCTATTTTTTAACGATACTTTAACCACAATAATTATTTCGGAATATCAATTTATAATGCAAACACATGGGTTAGTTTCACGGCCATATAGACCTGCAAGAATGTTGGTTTATCAAGAGAAAAGGGTTTAAATCTTGGCTCTTGGTTTACAGTCTTTTCGAATGCTATCCCAGAATCCCTAGTGGGATTATTATTTTGTTTCTCAAAAATTTAAATAGAAGTTTTGGCCATTTAAACCGGAGCTCTCACGCGCGCAACAGGGCACCATGGTTACAAAATTTGGTTATCTATGCATCTAAGACACTGTCCACACGAATCTGTTTTCATTTGAAAACGCAACGTTTTCTTTACGGATACAGCTTCTGTCCGCACGTATCCGATGAAAAAGATCACAGAAAACGAATCTTTTTGAAAACGCTGAGAACACAGTATCAGTTCAAGTCCACTCCGCGCAATATTAGAAACTTATTCAAGATGGCGGACGGGCGCTTCCCTTTCTTTTCTTTTATACTTGGACTTATTTCTAAGCTAATTGCTTATTTTCAGGAAAATTTAGCTTTATTAATTCTTCAAGCTGATCATTCCAGGAGGCGGCAGAACATTATCAGGTTATTTCCGCTACCGGTGTCAAGAGGCAAAAGGTTGGTTCTCCCTTTAGTTTGACTTTGTTTTTGCCCTGATATTGACATTTCAAACTGTTTCTGCGACTTTGAAAAGAACGTCACAACAATATAAACCCACACCAAAGAAATTCAAAGGTGGCGCCTTATTATTATTTTGCGGGCTTAAAATAGCGAACACGTATGCGTCAAGCATGTGCAGTCGGGTAAGTTATCCTTTTCAAACCGATTCATCGTATACTTGTGGACGGGCGTAAACGATGCGAAAACGTTACAAGTGGACGCAAATTTTTTTGAAAACGGAGAAAAAAGGTTGCATTTTCAAACGAATACGGATACGTGTAGACAAGGCCTAAGAAATTTTGGTCGTGACAAAATGGTCCGTACGTACATTCATGTTAGCGGATGTCAGGAGTCGGCTCCTGCGGATGTGAAATGTTAAACTAGCTTGGAGTCCAAGGTATGCACAATCGGTATTTAACCCTTTAAAACCTAAGATCAAAATTTGGATTCTTATTTGTTGCCCCTATTAATTTCCCACAAAAGTAGTGGGGAGAAGTTGATAAAATATCAAGCAAAATCATCTTGTGTGATCATGTCCGTCAATCTCATGACCACTCTGTTTTACAAAGCATTGATATTACAAGGAGAAATTTGATGCTGATCACTCTTAGGGCTTAAAAGGTTAACTTGATATTGGACCTCCATGTTATGGTCAATTAAGAGCGTTAGCTGTTAAAATATGGTATCGGTTTACCAGTGTCACATGACCGTATCGTGGGCTCAGGTGTACAATTCATTCAACTGACCGCAGGCTGAGGTCCATTTTTTCAGGAGGAATTCAGTTTGCTTCCTGATTTGTTGGAATTTTTCAGAAATGCTTTTAAAAATAACCTTGTCAGTTTTGTATAACTTGTTGATCCTTTGATTAATCGATGGCTGTCATTGGATGTTTCAGGATCACGTGTAAGCAACTAAATTCAGCTGTATCCTCTGCTATTCTGGATGCCAAAGGACTTCTCGCCATCACCAGTGAGGTGATGCACGAAGTGCTGGTTGGCGAGGCAGTTGTCCCTTGCGTAAACGGTCGTTACCATTTTTGGGACACATGGAAAATTTTTGACATGTTATTGAGAGTGGAATATATTACATCTATCATGACTAAAGGTTTGGTTACCAATGGTGACATCCACCGTTTACGAAAACGGTCGATGCCACCATTGGTAACCAAGACTTTAGTCATGATAAATGAAATATATTCCCTGGATTAAATTACAACTAGGGCAAATAATACGTTTTTAAAAAATTCTTAGAAAGAAAGTCATCGTTGAAGCCCAAGTTGAATTTACATTAAATGTTAAGGTAAGTCCTAAGGTCACCTGCTATTGATGTATCAGTTAAGAAAAACAGTTTGCTAGCTTTTGTACCGAAATTTCAGGGACACCCACTGGATCTCTTCTGCAGAATATATCTGTTCTTCAGGCAAATTCTCACTGGCTGGAAGATATGGAAGTAATGATTTGTCCTTGGAAGGAAAGTGGTATTGGGAAAAAATTATGGGTGTCTGAGGGTATTTGATGTCTAGAATAGCTGCTATGTGTTATTTTTTCAGAAATCTCCCCCCCCCTTCCTTTTTGAAGGGCTGAATGACGCCTTTCGGCCACACCCATTGTCCTACCAATTCCCCCCCCACCCCCACCCCATACACACACACAACCACAAACACTAAAGGTCTGAATTTTGCCCTATGACCACACCCAAACTGGCCAGTAATGTCTGGACATACGTCTGCCAGAAAACTTCCCAGTAAGTCAGGTTGCAGGTTGTAGGTGCGCCTTGCTGACTGGGAACTCTTCCATCAGTCTTGCTGGGAGTGAGGAACAGATAAATTTTTCTCCGCAATCTCCCAAAATGCTTAAAGTGGCTTCAGAAATTAAACTTTATTCATGCTTTGTTTAATGTGTTTAGGTATTTTTCTCAAAATTTCCCTTTGGGTGCCCATGAAACCGTTTTGGAACTTTGCCGAATCGTTGTGGCAGTGTGGCAGTGTAGCTAGGGAGAAAGATTAGGATGCGAAAGGACGGGTTCGTGTCCGGATTCGACCATGGGTAGACTTGCACACAAGTCGAGCTCAAAATCAGCGTCCGTTTAAGAAAAAAAGCCATTTTGGCGCCAAAAGAAGCGCAGATGACATCAGTGTTCTACCTTATTGGTACTTAATAGGCAAATATGAAAAAGGACATTAAATTTCGCGATTGAAGAGTTCTCAACTTGATTTTAGTTTTTAGTCCTCTGAGCTTTTTGAAATATCGAGATAAAGTGAACCAAGCAAAACGCATTAAAGCCCAGTGAAAAACGACGCAATATTGTTGGCCAACAACTTCCAACATTGCTGGGAGTTGTTGCGTCCGTTTGCACGTAGCTTAAAGTTTGCCTGGGTTCATACTTAGCGCAACAACACGCAACAAAATGCAACAGGGTGGGCAAACGTACTCAACATGTCACATCCAACAAGGTTACGTCCGCTTGCACGTAGCTTAACGTTATTTCGCGACAGAAGATCAGGACACAGTCACGGGATGGAACGTAGCAGTAAAATCAGCTATTAAATATAATAACTTCTCGGTGTTTGCCAACACATGTATCATGTAAAGTGTATGTTGTAGTTATCAAATTTTATTCATTTTTTTTGTGATTTGAATTTTCTATGTGGCTATTAAATTTCTCGGGAATTTTTGTTTGCGGGTCTTTAATTTCGCGATTTTTCCACTATCACGGAAAACGAGAAATTAGAAACCCGTGAAATTAAGTACCAATAATGCAACAGACTACAACTCATACTCATATCAGAACTCATACGTTATCCACATGATGATTTCCTTTTTTTTATTCATCCTGCGCAGTGATTTGAAAAATGTTACATTCCACAATGTTCTTTTATGAATATGATTTTGTGCAAGGTGTATTCTTTTTACAAATGCTCCGTGCTCGCAAACAAGCCATTAGTTAGCGTCAGTGCAAAGATTGCAGTAAAACATGAAAAAAGTATAAAGTAAAATGCGTGTTTCTCCTAGGCCTAGTGATTGCTGTCCTCGGAGCTTTCAGCTTAAAGTAGCCACATGAAAATCCAGGACTGAAGAGCCACCCTAAAATGACAAAATAAATAAATAAGTAATAAAAATGAAATAAAAATAGTTTCAATCGTAACCTGTGTTGCAGGCGTCTATTTTTTTCGTGGGGGTGGGGCGCTTGGAGGTGTGGAGGCGAGCGCTAAAATTCGCCACCCTAGCCCCAGGACAGGCGCATCTTTATCCCCCCTCTCCCCCTACGTATCGCCCCCCAACTCGACCCTTAACGTAATGTCTACTCCATAGATTGTCTTTTTTAATCTACGCAATATTTATCCACTTTTAATTACAGTTGAGGAGACTGTAGCAGGAAAAACTGAGCTCTTAAACGGTTGCATTGAATGAATCTTTAATCCTTGAATTAAAACAAATTAAAATTTTCCCGCTAAAGGTTGGAGGGAGAAAATAAAAATAAAACAGTTTTAATGGTTTTTAAAATGTTCCGTTTAAGACAAATCATATTAAATTCTCAGTCCGAGACCAATCTAGAGAACAATTATCAATTATTTGTGAAAGGGAAAGCCTTAAAGTAACCCTTATTTGATACAACAAATGCTCTTTGGTTTTGTGAACCACACCTACCACATTACTTTAATGTTCCACTGTGGTTTTCACTCAGCTCCAAATCTTTAAGCTGTGGCAAAATAACTCCATTTGCTCCTTTGTCTTGACTTTCAGGCTCTGTGTGTCAGAATATTCGGAGAAAAAGAAGAAAATAAAAAAAAAAACATTTACAGGGTGAAGCATATTAAATTTTACTTTTTTTAGCCACAGTTCTAAATCCTAATTTAAGATAAATAACAGACACAATCTCGTAAACGAAAGAGGCTAAATGTGAGGGTGGAAATGCATTTTCACCTGCTCAACGGATTTCAAGAGAAAAGACGCTCTGCAAGCCGTCTGAGGACAATTCAATATTGTTATGCGGTAGGATTGAAATAAGTTTCTCAATAATCGTCCCTATATTATAGCATTTGTATCAAGTAATTATAAGCCAAAATGTATATAAGGACCAATCATGAATACTTACGTTGAACTGTTGGGCAAGGATTTGTATTGCAGCTTCTGCTCTGCTCGTAATCTCCCGTACAGTTCTTACCATACCCCTGTGGAGGAGGATTGGTACATGTTCTGGTGCGCTTTTGCACTCCAGCCAAGCCACATGACGCACTGCACTTAGACCAAGAATCCCAGCGAGAAAAACGGCCGTCAACACCTATATGAATTAAACAAAGCAGCAAATGAAAACCAATAAAAGGACTATATACTGTATCTATAAAACGTGAAATTAGGCATTTTCACGTCGTAGTTGCGCAGTAAAGGCAAAGAAATGTACAAAAAAGCGTGATGCATTCTTAAATTTCTTTTTTGATGTTCTCATTACCGTTGCCATCATAAGATCTTAAGGTCCCTCTCGCTTTACCCTGTAGTAGAATGACGACGGCTACCACGTTAACGTTTTCCCGCCAAAATGATGCTGTTTCACGCGCGAGCACCACTTAGTATTGAAAGATTTATCCTGGCCTTGTCTTATAATCGTAAGGTCTCTACTGGCAAACGTTCAAACAATAAACGAAACCCCCTTGAAATCGGGCAAGTTTGAAATAAACCAGGCGATGTATAATTTAGAAAATATCAACTGAAGAGGTTTAAAATGAGTTTTTCAAAGAGCAAATCACAACCCAAAACAGAAAATTTTATATAAGGAGATGAAAACTGAAATCACTCACTGCATGTCTGGGTTAGTATTTGAGTGAAAAAGTCCGGCAAATTTTTGAAAGTGGCTGAGTGGTTATAGTTGTCTCCAGCAATCCTTTTCAGTTCATCTGGTTTAACATTGGGTCCTATTCCAAGAGCAGTAATGCGAACTTCTTTCGCCTAAGTAAAGAGCGGAAGTATTAACAAGCGTATTGTAATCAGAACTTTAAGATAGTGATTAGGCTACTCCGCGGGGGGTGTACTCCCTTATATGGCCTGTACGGGGATGTGCAGCAGGACAGCTTTTAGTCCTCTGTGTCCTAGGGTATCGAATTTCCTTCGAGTTTGTCCTAATTATTGTAGGAATCTAAGAAAATAATAATATAATAATAATAATAATAATAATAATAATAATAATAATCTAAGAAAATAAATGTGTTTGAATATCAACTTAGCAAATGTTTTAAAGGAGTTATACGATTTTTATCTTTTGTTAAAGTCAGTTCGTAACGCACTGCAATTGAATATCTGCTCCCTTGATAGTTGCCTTGAATTTTGATCCAGACAAGTGCCTGTTAGAGACTGATAAGGTGCAATGATTAGTGTATATGTTCGATGGAATAATTTTTAAGGCAACCTAGTAATTGAGAGGTGTTTGGGTATGAGACCAGAAGAAGTGCCTGGAAATTAAGTTTAGCTCCATTACTCACCTTGAGAGAAGGGATGATTTCCCCATAAGGTTTAGACTCTTTGTTGGTTTTTCCATCGGTGAAGAGAACCAATGCATTGGGAAATTTAGGTCTGTCACCGCCCTCTTTTGTAAATAATGTGTTATTAGCGGCTTTTAAAGCTCTGTCGATGAAGGTGCGTCCTTTCAGTTTGTCGGAAAGGTCTTCAATCAGATAATGTACCTCTGATTTTTTGTAGTATCTGGAGTCACTAAATGTGTTCAACACCTTGGAGTATTTACTGAACAATATGATACCAACATGAGTAGCATTTGGTCCAATGTTTATGGCGTCAATTATCTGAATAAGGAAACCTTTAAGTCGCTGGTAGTTCTCTCTTCCTAAGCTTCTTGTGCGATCCACGAGAAATGCTACATCCAGGCCGGCGGATTGTTCACAAGGGGAAGGTGCTGAGTGACATTAGACAGATATTTCATCATTAGTGCAATGTTAATATTTTAACAGTAGCGCTAGGCTCGCTTGCTGGGCGGTGACACCGTTGAGACTTATCCCTCTTGCAACCCTGTCGATGCAATTTCCTGAGCGACTTGGTACCCACAATAAGTTTCCCTCAAAGAATGATATATGACTGTGGTGCTTGTTTCTCTAGAGAGGAATTTCTTTTTTTCTTTGTGGTTGTTTAGTTTTTACTTTACTCTCTCTTTTTTGCACTGATTTCCAGTGCATTTTCCTTATAGGGAACCGTACCTAGTAAATCGTATTAGAAATCGTAACTACTACATACTTCTCCTACCGTCTTCTAATCAGTATAATCTTCAATTCTGGTCTATAAAAGATTTATTTGCTTCGGCGATTTAATTAAATGGGCGTAAATAATCCTTGCACTCTTTAAAACTGTACCAGAGTAGGAAAAGTTAACCGAATCGGTCGTTTCATGCCTTTATTTCCCTAATAATTATATAGCTGTTAGTTAATCCGATACTGTCAGTAAAGCTACTATCCTTTAATTTTTACGAGGATTTAATTTAGATAGTTTCAGTCAGGACTTTCCTATACAAACAGGCAAGCTGTCCAATTTAAGAAAAATAGAATAGCTGGTCTGAGCTAATCAAATGCCAGAAAATACGATAGGCAATGCAAACTAGCCAATCAGCGCAAAGTCCCTGTGACAACGCGCCAAAAAGTCTCGTTGCATTGACTGACGGCAGTTCGTCGGCGTACATGCACCCTTGGCTTCTTGTTGCTGTGAATGTTGTTTTGTCTTGGCTTCTTGTCTGGGCCATTTAACAGGAAAATGTAAGTCCAAACCGTTGAAAGTTTGCATTGGAAACAATCAACGATTCTTGAAAATGTACAAGCACTGAAACTTTGGACGGGCATAAGAAAATACTGATAGATGTAGGCATTATATAACAAAAGGACAAAGTCTGTGGAAATTGTTTGAGGTAATTGCGGTACAATTTAAGCTTATACTTGACCACAAAATGCCAAAGTATACACAACATATAAACGTCTGTAAATTTTCGCATCTTTGCGGAGCTCAGTATCTTCGCTCGGTTAAGATGTATCACTTTCAAATTTGGCACTTTTACTACTATTGATTAACGCGCTCTTTCCAGTGGTATCGTTGGATTTTCCCTAACTTGTCCATGTCAAAAGTTGAAAAAAACCGTGAAAAGGTCTATTAATATCAAAAGTAAGAGGACTGCATGCCATCCAATTTGGAAATAATTGAATTCAAAAAATTCTTCTGACAGCCTAATTGGACTCGGCCGTAATTTTGGCTGTCCATGAAATGTTTTTCATCCAATTTTTTTTTCAGATTGGACAGCAAAACTGATAGAAAAACAAGTGCATTTTGTTTCACTGCTATAATTTTAATTTAATTAAAATATCTCTGTTAATAAACTTTAAATTACTCACGGCAAATAATGGCTTGAATGTCGTCTGCCATGCCCTGGAGAGTTAAATAATCCTGCACAAAGATAACATTTTTTCCGGCGATTTTGTCCAAGATACGCCTATACCTTCTTTTTTTGGAAAACTTTCCGATGGCAACAATTACTAGACGAACACCATGTTTCTAAAAAAGAGGAAATACACGGCTCAGTATACGCGTTCGCATTGGTTAATGAGATAGTTTCTACAGCGAAAAAAAAGAAAAAAACACATGCACACTTGGTTTAACCAGATTGATACAATCTAAGAGGGCTATATGCATAGATAACCATAACACTTTTCTCGTTTAATTTAAAATTTTTAACACGAGTGTTTTTTTTCAGCTTTTTGAAAAGCACACGAGTGCAAATAAGTATGATTAACTTAATAGACATGAAAAAATTTCATTTATCAAAATTAATTCATCCCCACACCATTGCCACATCCCACACTGCTATTCGGCACAACACATACCCAGTCTCATGAGTCTCAAAGTGGCCAAAAAAGATTGCGGCTCCTGATTGGTTGATATATATTTCTATAGTTCTTTAGCCAATCCCAGTCAATCACTGAGTGTTCCATTCTCTGAGGTTTTGCATTTCATTTCTTTTTTTTATATCATTGTATTTCCTGTGACCAGTAAAAACTGCATTGCTCTCGGCTGATCAGTTCATAACATTTTTTTTTATGTTTATTATTAATTTTTAAAAAAACACATAATTTTCTGATAGTAACGACCCTGTGATCATGTGGACCCCGATCATGTGGATTTTGTTCAAGTTGTTGCTAACGAGAAAAACAATACAGGTCGATCAGAGACTCGATGAACAAGTATTACTGCAAGGTTTATATATTCTCTTTAAGCTGACCTTTAAATTAGCAACTGCTCCCATGAAATCCTTGGTATCTGGGTGCGACTTTCCGTCAGTGTACAAAACCATTACACTTCTAACACCAGCTCGATTCCCGCTCTCATGAGAAAACATTTCATCGTCCGCTTGGAATAGCGCGTAATCAAGTCGAGTAGGTTGACTAAGTTTACCGATGCTTTTATCGATCAAACCTTCCATGGCCTTGACGCTGTAGAAAGAGCCGTTTTTAAAATTGTTGTGTAGCACGCTCTCCGCTGCGAATGTCTCAAGTGATACGTGTGTTCCATTCTCTGAGATGTCCATCGATCGAATCAGGATTTTCAGCGAGTTCTTCAGAAGGTTAATGTTGTTGGGGTTTCCTTGATTAATACTTTTAGTTGTATCAACCACTAGACCCAGATCAAGCTTACACTTGGAGAAACCTACAAATACAATCAATAAAATCAGTGACACAAGCAATCGTCTTGCGAGAAGGTGCAACGCTAGTGGGGCGTGGGTACGGGGTGTTTCCACACACTTTCCGAGAAAATAAGAAGATCCTTTAGAGCCCTTGATGACTTGTCTTAGTCGAATGGAAGCACGAAGGTTCTCAAGAAATGGTGTCTTATGACTACTTGAAGGAAGGCATAACTCGGGAGATGCTCACTTGTTAGATTTTTATAATCATTTGATAGGACTGTGTAATCTGAAACCTCGTACTTTTTCATTTTCATAAGGACTTGAGATATCAGTCAAAATTGATTATACAACTGCTTTGCTGTGACAGAAATGAAAGGCTCATGAATTTAATTGTCTGAGGGGGTTAGTTTAAACTCGGGTAGGGTTATTAAGTAAATGGCCTGCAAAAATTACTTTAGATGCTGAGCCAGTTCTGTACTTGCCTTGAAAATCAGTTTTAAAATCAATACAGCCTCTTTTTTGAAATTAATATTGAAAACGTTGTTCTTACCAGAAGCAGATGTTAGTTGGATACTGTGAAACACACAAATAATTAGAATCCAAAGGGAAGTCATCCTGATCTACCTGCAGTATGAACAATTGCATGACTAATCATAACTAAAACAAAATTTTCAAATCTGATTGGCTATCAACTATCCTGATTTCAGTACTAGTTATAGGACAGTGTAAGAGGACTAGCTGTACTGTACGCGTCATGCTTAAGTATTTGGATCGTACGCGCATTTACAGCGAAATTCGTTGTATCGCGCTGCGCGTTTTGCAAACTTAGAAGGAATTTTGGGTTTTTCTGTTCCGTCAATAATTTCAGTGAAGGCGGGGTTAATGCAAATCACGATGCAATGTGTTCGCCCAGCTTGGCTGAGAATGACTCTAGACTGCTCAAGAATAGCGAAGGAAATCGCTATGGTGAGTGGATTTTTTGTCGAAGGAAGGAGGCAGACGTTGCTTTATTCTTGCAGTTAACAAGAATGAGAAAGATCTTAAAAATCTGCAAAGCAAACTTAACTAGTCGATTATTGCCCGAAACAAGACGATCACAATGCGACGAACCTTGAAACGCGAAACAAACAAAACGGATCGAGAACCACCAATCACGAATCACAAACCATGACCCTTTGGTTTCGTACAAGTAGATATGTGTTTCCTAGTAGGTCCGCTAAGATGATGGCGGAACAGAAAAACCCAAAATATGCAAAACGCACAGCGCAATACAACGAATTTCGCTATAAATGCTTTTTTCACTGCTAACGAAAAAACTCTCGGAATTTCTTGTGTCATAATTTTAAAAAAGCCTAAAATATCACATTTTAACTGGTAACAGAACTTCGTGTCGTCTAATTCGGTTTGTAATCATACTCATGCCAGGCTTTCAATTTTACTTTTTATTTTGAAAATCCTGGTAAGTCTGGTTCAACCACGGTTCACCAGGCTTACCAGGCTTTTAACCAGACTTTCTATTTAAGGGATGGGCGGATGTAAAGGAGACACAGTGCGCCGGAGGGGCTGCCCCCACCCTCGCTCCTTCGCGTTTGTCTGAAAGTCTTTAAGAAGTTCATAGAATTCTAGAAATCTAAGAAAAATCTATCACGGATTTACAGCTTAATTTTCGGACCGATCGAGATGTTCTCAGAGTTCTTTAAAAGCTTGCAAGTCTTCTGATTCTAAGAGAAAATGTCTTAGTTCAGGGATGGGTAGAAAGTGAACTTAAAAACTATGGGTAAAGGTAACATAATGTTTTCGAGTTTTATCATCATATCACATACCTCCACGTGCTCTGAAGGCGTCTGTACTGTCGCAATTTGTAATAATCATCGCACTTTGTAATACCTGTCGCAATTGGTAATAAACCGTGTCGCAATTTGTAATAAAAAAGCTGTCGCAATTTGTAATAACAGTCCATCGCACTTTGTAATAAACTAAGGTGTCGCAATTTGTAATAATTCCATCGCACTTTGTAATAATTTTTTGAGAGTGATTCAACTTACTTCGTCAACATTAATATAATGCCAAAATATGCATGGTACTTCATAAACAAAGATGATGACGTCTGCTAGCATGTAACATGTTCGTAACATTTTCTTTGGTCAAACATGCATGTCTTCCGCTATAAGTTTTTCTGCCTTGATTAATCACGTGACTAACTAGAAATTATGAAAGACATGAAACTTCCTGTGACATATCACCAAAAAGATATAAATCACGTTTAAATTCAGAAATATTTAAATAAGAAAGGCAACATTTAACAACAGAAAATTCATGAATAACCTGGCATTCGTCGTCCAAATCCATGTTTGCTTGCCACGTGACACATGAAGTCTTCGGCGGGGTGGGGGGGGGGATAATCCCATATATGGATGGGCTAGATAGGTAAGTACCGCCTGAAAGGGTATGGTTTTTGAGGATCTCGAGCCTTTAATAGAGTATCATTTTTTACGTTGTTGGCCTTGTGTCTTTGGTTTGATCCTTAGATAGGGTAACTCAAGTGGTAATGGATGGTTTATTCCATCCTTTCCATTTTGAAGAAAAACAGTAATCCAGAACACGCTCGGAAGTTGTATATACGCAGGGAAGGATAATTTTTTACCATCCCCATGGTATTTGCTTTAGAGGACTCCTTACAGAAAACAATTGTTTTAAGATGGAATGAGCACTCCTTTTGTTACTATATGGGACCAAATCAAGTGAGAATAATGGACCAAATGCCCAGCCGGCTCAGACCCCAGACTCCAAGTGAGTGTTATAAAAACAGGTACATACGAAGGTATTAGCCAGCGACTAATTGGATTTTGTGTTTAGGTTTCTGTTGTGGTTCGAAGGTTTGCCACTAGTGACGTTATGTTTTATTTGCAGTAAACATTTTGAATCTTTCCAGGCCTCGTTTGATTTAGTTGGCCAAAAAAATGGAAGCCACTATTACTTCTTTAAGATTGCTCGTTAGACAAGAACGGTGTACTACGTGATGTGTCAACCTGTTATAAGATCTAACAAGGAAAGCTTGAACTCTCCTGGTGTCCTTATTCGAATGATGTAGGATGGATATTACGATTAGCAGAAATTAAATGCTCTTCAATAATGGCTTGTTTGTGTCTAGTGTGTCTAGCTCTGTCTAGATCCTCTACTCTGGCAATGCTCTGTCCAGAGGCACATCCCCGTATTGGCCATATAAGGAAAATTCTATGGCCTAAGTGATCATGCGTTATCTTTAATGCCTAGCTATCTCTCCTCTCGTTATCAAAGAGTAAAGCTTAGTGATGCTTTCTCCACGTGGCAAGAAGTCTCAAGAGGGGTCCACAGGGCTCTATTTTAGGACCTACTTTCTTTAACATATTCATGAATGACCTGGCATACACAATTAGACAATGTAGAATTGTCAACTATGCTGATGATACAAACATCCATAGTTCTAACAAAAATGTTCGTGCTGTCCAAAACAACCTTAATATCGATCTTAAGAATGCTGCTCTGTTTTATTCAAAATGGCATGAAACCTAACCCAGATAAATATCAGGCTATGGTACTTGGCAGATCGGAAGACAAATTGAACTTTAAATTAGCTGATGTTGACATAAAAACTACAGAAAAGACTTGTCTTCTGGGGGTTGTCCTTGATAACAAGTTAAAATTTGACGATCATATTTCAAGTATTTGTCGCGAAGTAAGTGCTCAGATAAGTGCTCTGAACAGATTGAAAAACATTTTGCCACTTAAAACCAAGGAATCGCTTTATCGCGCATTTATACCGTCGTATCTTAACTATTGTAACCAAGTCTGGCACCACTGCTGAAAAAGTCAACTTAAGGGCTTTGAGGTTCAAAGATAAAAGTGCATCTTATCTAGATCTCTTGGAAAGAATAAGAACTCCCATCCATAAAAACTCGAAGAATCCAAGACATGCTATTGACAATAAACAATAGTATATCGGACAAAGCTCCACCTGCAATTAGAGATCTTATCACCTTACGCTCATCCAAGTATAATATTCGACATGATTATATCCTTTCATTGCCTAAAGTTAACACGACTAAATAGGGTCTCAAATCTTGGAGATATTTTGCAGCTAAGAAATGGAACGAGCTAGCAAATGACATTAGAATTAAAGCAGGCACCAATGAAGTGAGATGAAGAACAAAATTCGATTGCTTAAGATTGACTGAAATCGGGATTTATAGTAACTGCTGCCTGTTGCTTTGTTGTTTTAATCGATTCTAAACTCTTATACAGTTTTCAAATGAAGAATTATTGTATATTTTTAGTTTTTAACTGTAAATTTTTACAATATAATTTATTTTATTTCATTTTTGAATTTTAAATTTTTAGAATATAATTTGCCGTGGATTATCTGCAAATTAGCTGATAAAGGTAAGCGTAGTATCCATGTTAAATAAAGTATCGTATCGTATCGTATCGTAAGAAGGGTAGAAAAAGTTCTGCGGATACCTTTGGTAGAGGAAAGTGATTTGTATTAATTAAAGTGTTCTAAGAACCAAGCCATGAAAAAAATGCTATCATAATTGAGTTAATATACACTGAAATGTTTTGAAATGCCTCGATAAAAACCAACGCATTGTTTGACTAAATCTTAATAATAATAGTAAAATAAAAGTGACGTGTCAGCCAAAATAGTGTTGCTTAACAGTTCGTGAAATCTTAAATAGCTTTTCAAACCCTTGCTTTGGTATTCTAAGTGTATTTTTTTTCCTCTGGACACGAATATTTATAAAAAGACAAACTTTAATTCAATTCAACTTCTTGAGTGGATACACCTTTCAAAATTGTGCGTGCAATAGGGTTTTGTCTTCTGAGATAAAAGTTTTAAAAGCCAATACCAGTCAAAGTATTATCTAATGGTAATTCCGACCAAATAAACTGAATGAGAACCGTGCTGAGCATCCAGTCAAAAGCGTATCAACCGTGGTCTTTATCGTACCAGCAAAATGTAAAAAAAAATGGCAGAATTTTTTTGAAATACATAGGTTATGACACCGTGATGAAGTATTTAAGAACTCTTTTTTACATTAAATAAACGCGCTAAAAATCTTGGAATTTTAATGAGCTTCAATGCCAAGAAATCAATGAAAGGGAAAAAAGCC